TGCAATATTTGTACAGTAGTATTTATTGGTGTGATATACATACACCAACAATATTGTTTGTGCAACCAGTATTTGTGTATGTGTAACATGGTGTGTACATGGGCATGTGTGACATGATATGTACAAGGGTATGTGTATTACGATATGTACAGTGGCATGTGTAACATGATATGTGCAGTGGTATGTGTAACATGATATTTATAGTGGTATGTGTAACATGATATGTGCAGTGGTATGTGTACCATGGTATGTACAAGGGTATGTGTAATACGATATGTACAGTGACATGTGTAACATGATATGTGCAGTGGTATTTGTAACATGATATGTATAGGGTATATGTAACATGATATGTGCAGTGTACAGTGGTATGTGTAACATATTTACAGTCGTATGTGTAACATATTTACAGTGGTATGTGTAACATGATATGTACAGGGTGTGTGTAACACAATATGTACAAGGATATGTGTAATACGATATGTATAGTGGCATGTGTAACATATGTGCAGTGGTATGTGTAACATGATATGTACAGGGTATGTGTAACATGATATGTACAGGGTATGTGTAACATGATATGTACAGGGTATGTGTAACATGATATGTACAAGGTATGTGTAACACAATATGTACAAGGGTATGTGTAACATGATATGTACAAAGTATGTGTAACACGATATGTACAAGGGTATGTGTAATACAATATGTACAGTGGCATGTGTAACATATGTGCAGTGGTGTGTGTAACGTGATATGTACAGGGTATGTGTAACATGATATGTACAGGGTATGTGTAACATGATATGTACAAGGTATGTGTAACACAATATGTACAAGGGTATGTGTAACATGATATGTACAAAGTATGTGTAACACGATATGTACAAGGGTATGTGTAATACAATATGTACAGTGGCATGTGTAACATATGTGCAGTGGTGTGTGTAACGTGATATGTACAGGGTATGTGTAACATGATATGTACAGGGTATGTGTAACACGATATGTACAAGGGTATGTGTAACATGATATGTGCAGTGGTATGTGTAACGCGATATGTACAAGGGTATGTGTAATACGATATGTATAGTGGCATGTGTAACATATGTGCAGTGGTATGTGTAACATGATATGTACAGGGTATGTGTAACATGATATGTACAGGGTATGTGTAACACGATATGTACAAGGGTATGTGTAATACGATATGTACAGTGGCATGTGTAACATATGTGCAGTGGTATGTGTAACATGATATGTACAGGGTATGTGTAACATGATATGTACAGGGTATTTGTAACATG